TCTCAAATTAATTATATACATATATATAACATATATATAATATATATTATATATATATATTAAACGAATAGCCCAGTTCAAACCAAGACGAGTCCTATTTCCCCTGACAGCGGGCTGGCTCCGCTGAGTCCTGCCGGCCCCGCAGCGGCAGTGCCGTGAGCCGGGCGCTTCTCATTTCTCAAGCGCACAGCCGGGCGGTGCCAGGTCAGAGGTCGCGGCTCTGTTGGCCACAGGCGAACACTCCCCCCGGGAGGTCGAATATACGAATCCTTGTCTCTCTCTTCATCGCCCCTGCACTCCATCGAAGTGATGACTGTTTCGTGGACGTTTATTCTAACACTATGTCGCGCAGCCTGGGTGAGGGGCAGGCGGGGCCTCTCCACCAGCCGCTCAGCTCCCCGGCGACTCTGAAACCAGAGGCCCCACTTGGGAGCAGACCTTCTGGATCGGATCTAATCTGGGCTATAATGTTAAAATAAAAATAAGCATTACTCGGCCAGAGTAGCCAAAACAAGAGATAGAATAGGAGACCTGGTTTAATCCAACAGACACATGAACTGGGTTGGCTGGACAAGAAACTGAACCGGCAGGTAGCTTCATCTTCGTTTCCTGTTGGACTTACACTTCCGCACGCTGTTCATTACCAACAGAATGGCCCTGCGCACTGCATGAAATGTCCAAGTGCCACCTAGTGAGCAGTGAGTTCAAGTCTCTGTGGCTACCGCTGGGTAAGGGGCCAGGCGCACAGAGGGAGGGGGCCAGGTGCACAGAGGGAGAGGGCCAGGTGCACAGAGGGAGGGGGCCAGGTGCACAGAGGGAGAGGGCCAGGTGCACAGAGGGAGGGGGCCAGGTGCACAGAGGGAGAGGGCCAGGTACACACTGAGGGAGGGGGCCAGGTACACACTGAGGGAGCGGGCCAGGTGCACAGAGGGAGGGGGCCAGGCGCACAGAGGGAGGGGGCAGGTGCACAGAGGGAGAGGGCCAGGTGCACAGAGGGAGGGGGCCAGGTGCACAGAGGGAGGGGGCCAGGTGCACACAGAGGGAGGGGGCCAGGTGCACAGAGGGAGGGGGCCAGGCGCACAGAGGGAGGGGGCCAGGTGCACAGAGGGAGAGGGCCAGGTGCACAGAGGGAGGGGGCCAGGCGCACAGAGGGAGGGGGCCAGGCGCACAGAGGGAGGGGGCCAGGCGCACAGAGGGAGGGGGCCAGGCGCACAGAGGGAGAGGGCCAGGCGCGCACAGAGGGAGGGGGCCAGGCGCGCACAGAGGGAGGGGGCCAGGTGCACACAGAGGGAGGGGGCCAGGTGCACACAGAGGGAGGGGGCCAGGTGCACACAGAGGTAGGGCAATCACTGGGGCATGTGTGGAGGTGCTGGGGCTGGGCCATCCCAGCCAACAGTCCTCTGCATGACCCCCTCCTGTCCCCTGCCACCTGGTGAGTCACCCAGAATCTGCTCACTCACCCAGCCCAAGGCCCTGGTGAGTTTCCTCTCTTGACACCCGCTATAGGTTGAAGTGCATCTCCGTAAATTTCACGTCTTCCCGAGCCTTACAATGTGACCATGTTTGGAAATAGGCCTTTGCAGACGTGCCTCCATCAGGTGCAGTCACACTGGATTAGTGTGGGCCCTCCTGTAATGGCTGCTGTCCTGGGAAGGGAGGGAGATGTGGGAAGAGACAGACGGAAGAGCGCCACCTGACGATGGAGGCAGAGACTGGAGTGACGCATCTGTCAGCCCAGGGGCACCCAGAATGGCAGATGTTACCAGATACGGAGCTTGTAAGTGCACCAGCCCTGTGCTGTCTCCTAAGGTGGAGGGACCCCTGGTTTGGGGGTGCCTGCCTGACCTGGCCTCGTTCTGGCTCATCACTGTGGCCCCTGGGGTCGGGGTCCTGAGCTGCTCCACCCTCACACTTCCTTCCCGCTCACAAGTAGCAGGATGTACGTGAACCTCGCTTGACGTGTTACAATGTGCATCCCTCCATCGTGGTGTGAATCCAGTCTTCCACCTTCAGGCCTCGACTTCCACAGGTGTCTTCCGGAACTGTTGGCACATAAAAGAAAGGATAAACCTGTTAGGACCTTGTGAGATTTTAAAAAAAATGGTACATAGTCCGGCTGGTGTTGCTCAGTGGATCGAGCACCGTCCCATGGACTAGGAGGTCCCCGTTCAAGGCCCGGTCAAGGCACATGCCTGGGTCGTGGGCTTGATCCCCAGAAGGGGGCGTGCGGGAGGCAGCCGATCCATGTTTCTCTCTCACATGGATGTTTTTCTCTCTCTCCCTTCCTCTCCCTCTAAAAAAATCAATAGAAACATATTTGTTAAAATCACACATTATTTTAAGTGAGTTGTGTTACCCCTGACCTTACAACAGTAGAGATGATTTAGAATGTAACAGTTCGATACATCCCTTGTTTGCCTGTGGAAAGGTGGTTAAGTCCATCATCCCCTTTGGCAGGTTTTCTAAGCTGCCTGTTCCGGGGACACGGTCACAAGGGAAGGGTCTCCCAGCACTCAGAGGCAGGGAGGACGCGCTGCCTCTGTCCTGTCCCTGGGGCTTCCATGCAACACTGCTCAGGAAGTCACAGGTCGCCGTGGGGACAGTGGCCTCTGCAGGACAGGGGGATAATGTGCAGTTGGCAGCCTTTGTCACCTATTACTCAAGCCCCCAAACGAAAACATCAGCATTGTTAAAGGTCCCATGTCCCCGGCCCGGTTGTGATTTAAAGATCTGACAGGGCCAGCTCCCCCGTCTGTGACCCAGAGCCTCAGGCCGAGAACGAGAGATCCGGTTTATCTCATCATTGCAGGGGCGCCCCTGCCCCCTGCAGCTCCGAGGTCCCAAGGACAGCGTGGACGACTGCTGCCCCTCTGCAGCAGGAACTCGCTGCGCTGTGACCGCGTGGCCTCTCCCCGCGCGGGCCAAACCACGTCCTCTGCATGCTTGTCTTTCCACCCCTCGCTGCTCTAACACTTCTGACTTTTCTCCGATACGATCAATGATTTAAAAAGAGCCCCCAGGTAGTCGGGGCTCACCTGTGCTGAGCGAGGGATGGAGCTACGTGTTCAGGTCTTCTCATCACACGTGATCACGAGGCGTGTGTGTTAGGAGGAGCTCGAGTTCAGTATCAGGCTGACAGTGACCGGTCAGCCAGCAGCCTGAGATGGGGAAACTGAATGACATGGAGATTTCAAAGCCTCATCAAGAAACAAACGTGAAGATGGAACCACCCTTGGATGGGGTGGGGCCCATGTTCACGGGGAAGAAGGGATGGGTCCTCCATCATGTCGCTGGGCGCCTCGGACGCCGGACAGGGAGGCTCTGGGGCCGGGAGAGGGTCTGGGGGGCGGGGCCCGCTGGACCCCTGCTGGAGCGGACGGCACGCCGGGTGCCTCGGGCGCAGTGGACACACCGACGTCAGGACGCAGGACGGCAACGGCCTGGGAAGACGGTTCCGGGACTTGACAGTTCCTGGAACTGGACGCCTATCGTATCTCACGCCGAAGACGTCGTCATCGTACCCTGGGAGATCGCCAGAGTGAACCCCACGTAGACCCGAAGGTCCCCAGGGACATGTGGGGACCGTTTTGAGTGTCGGGACTTGGAGGGGGGCTCCTGGAGTCCGGTGGGTGGGGACAGGCTGCTGCTGCAGATCGTCCTGTGCACCAGGTCCAGGGCCTGAGTCCCCAGACAAGCACGGTCCTGGCCCCCCAGGCAGCCCATGTCCGCGTGACGGAGGAGCTGCCGAGTGTGCAGACCTGCTGGACGCTGTGCGGGGGAGACGCCGGGCGGCTGCGAGAACGAGAAGACGGGGAGGCGCGTCTTAGTCGGGGCCCGAGAGGGTGAGGAGGGGCAGCTTCCTCCCGAGGGGGAGGCAGGCGGACAGCATATGGCCAGGCCCTGGGACCGGGCTCCGCATAGTCTGGGAGCTTGCAGAAGGCCGTGGGGCACGTGGAGGGCGAGATCGGAATGAGTCAAGTCCGCAGGGCAGCAGAGGCCGCTCCCTCGGACCCTGTGGCCGTGCTGGTGCCAGAGAGGAGTTATTGTGTGTGCGGGGCCAGGGCTGGCCAGGGGGTGAGGCAGGCCACCCGGTCTGCGTTTGGGAAGATCACTGGCCACGGAGAAAGCAGGAGCCCGCGCAGACACGTGCGGATCGTCCAGGAGGCTGTTTCCATGGGCTCGGTGAGGAGGGGCCGAAGAAACAGGAAGAAGCGGCTGCATGTGAACGGCCCGGTGCCGGCTGGACGGACTGACCGTGAACGGGCCTCTGTGCACACGGCCACGGCTCCCCAGCCTCTGCGCCCGCCTCTCCCGGTCGTAGCTTGTCCTCCTCCCCTCCGAGTCCCGCTGGGGACAGGCCTCTCCAGCGCCTCCCTGGCCCCGCGTGCGTCTGTCAGGGACAGTTACCTTCCCGCCAGGCAGTACCTCGTCCCCAGTGGTGATGCGCTGTCCACGCTTGCCGCCAAAGTCATGCCTTGTGGGGGGAGATTTTTAGTCTTTCGAGTTCAGTGCTCGCCTCTCGCGGAAAGTGCGTTGGGTGTCTGGCGTGTCCCAGACACGGAGATGCTCGACGACACCTCGTGGAGGGTGAGCCTCTCCTCCGAAGGAAAGACACGTCTGGACGGAAGTGTGTGCAGTCACCCGCCCTGGGGGCCCTCTGGTTCTGCATGAGCCGTTGGGGGGATGCCGTGGTGACTACAAGAAGCTGTCCCTTGGCAGGGTGGGTCCGAGCAGCCCACGCGACAGAACAGTCACCACCTACCCAGTACTGCAGCAGCCGCTCCGGCAGAGTGTGGCGGGCATTTCAGCAAAGGGCTAAAGACACTAAGTCAGTCCCGCGTCCTGGTCATCCGTGTGCGCGCATAGACACGCGTCCAGCATCCAGACGAGGCCGGCAAATCACGTAGCCGTGAGGTAAAGTGTGAGAGGCGTCAGAAACCACGTCCGATCGGTCACGCGACACGAACTTACCATTTGGGGTCTGTTTGCTTTGATTTCAGAATTACTATTTCGGACGACGGAAGCCTCAGCATCGTCAACGTGACGAAGGCCGACGCTGGCAGCTACACCTGTGTTGCCACCAACCACTTCGGGACCGCGAGCAGTACCGGGAGCTTGGTCGTGAAAGGTAAGGACTCGCCCAGACACGGACACACGTCTTCATTTCTCATCATCCAGAGAAGAGGCAGCATTCGTGCTAATACCATGTGCGGGTATCACAGTCACTAAATTAATTCATCATGGCGAACACGATAGGGTTCGTAATTCTCAGAGACGAGTCGGTGATGAATATGAGTGAAAAGCTATCTCGTTTCAGCATCATCCAGGGCGGCTGAGAGTCACACTGTGTCGGTGACGCTATTGTAACTAACGTTATCTTCTGTCCCTTAATTAAATTCCTTTCAAGTCTCTGTAGATGTGAAATTCGTGTCTAGGAGCCCTGTACTAACAAATTGAAAGCCCATGACTCAAGTGCTATTTTTAGCAAACGTTGTTTAAACGGTGACACTGGCGGTTCGAGACGCCGCCCCGGTTCTCCAGAGAGGAGGCTGCAGATGAAGCTGCTAATGAGCGAGGGGCTTTGATCACCTCTGTGCCGTGCTCGTCACCCAGCCAACCCGGTTGTCCGTGCGCCTTGGCCTGGGTGCTTGACCGTGGGCGACAGGGGCCCTCAGCTCTCGGCTCCGCGCCCGGCAGGGTCCCCGGAGGGGACCGGAGGGTGCGATTTGATGCGCGTGTTATTCCTGTCGCTGTACGCCACACTGCATCACAGGGCTTCCGAGTCGCAGGGGCCTTGGTGGGGATCTTGCTGAGACTCAGGGTGGGATGTTCCCAGGTCTCCCGTAGCAGAAGGTGGTGCCAACCAGGAGCCCTGGTCCCTTGTAGTGCACCGGGGTTTTGTGTTGCCGTTGGCTCGTTTTCCCGTTTCTCCATAATGGATGTGCATGGGCCGCATCCTGTTATCTCCTGCTGGCCTATCTGTAGATCCCTCCGTGAAGTGAGGTCCCCCAAGGCAAATAAGAATATCCCCCAAGAACATTCGCCCCAATTTTAATTCCCAGAGGAAGGTGGAGGATCACCCCGTTGCACGCTCCGGGGTCACGGGGATCGGGAAAGTCCTACGCGAGGGGAGCCTTCGCAGCCTAGACGTCTGCGCAGATGGACGCTGGGGAGTCGGGAGTCAGGAGGGGGTCTGTGTTCAGAGTGACCCCGGCCATTTCGGTCTGGTAATCATTCGCCCAGAGCAACGGCACCGGCGTGTGACTGGCCGTGGGTTCTCTCCGTGTCACAGGGGAGAGGAGAGGAGCTCAGAGTCTTTGCGAAACGAAACCCCAGCTGGGTAGCCCTGCTGGTGCACACCTCCTACTCAGCCATGGAGCCCGGGGGTCAGCCGGGCTGGGCATCGAGGGGTCTCAGAGCTGACGCCTGTCCAGCGGAGTCTGTGCCCGTGACGGAGACAGGTCAGCGCCAGCAGCAGTCTTGAGTGGCATCGGGGGGGCTGAGGGGCAGAGCTCTGGCTTTGGGTTCTCCCATGTTGAGCTCTGGATGGTGGACAGACAGCCAGCCGGCTTCCTAGGGTTGTGGCGATGGTGGAGATAACCACAGACGTGTGTAGCAGGGCGCCCGGCGCTTTGGAAACAGTAGTCGTCGTTATAGTTTAGTCAGATGGCACCGCCTTCACGCTAAATCATACTGACACGAGCATTGAGGAAACGCCCACCCCTCACATGTTCACGTCATTACCAGAGAGGAGTGAGCCCCCCAAAAGAAATTCTGAGCCTGTGAAAGGGGGGGACCATCGGAACATGGAAGCCACGCCCAGGCTGTTGTGTGTGGCCGGAGAGAGGGGTGTCCCCGTAGGAACGAGGCAAGTCCTGCACTGACTTACCATGCTTCTCACCAGCCTGACTTCCTCAGTGCCGAGGTCGTTGGCAGAGAGGAGCCCTCTGTCTGCGTCGGGGTCCACACCCCAGGGACCCCTGCAGCCCCCAGCAGCTCCCTGCACCCGGCTCGTGCCGCAGGGATGAAGCGTGCCGGGGCCTCTCGGGTCTGGGTGGCTAGAAATGTTGCAGAACTCAGAACTCCTACCTGTTCCAAGAAGCTAAACACTTTATTTCTTTTCTTCTTGTAACATGTAACAGTGATTCCCCAACGATGGTATCAGAGGTCGTTTCAGGCAGTTGGTAGATAAACTGGTAGCTTATAAATTTCAGTAACCATTTGCTTCTTGCAGTGTGTATTAGAAAAACACGAGTTTTCCATTTATGACAAAGATTTTTTTAATCTCCTTTTAAAATATATTTAAGTAGCCCCAGCCGGTGTGACTCAGTTGGTTGAGTGCCGTCCGTGCACCGACAGGTCCCTGTTCCATTCCCTGTCAGGGCACATGCCCGGGTTGCAGACGCGATCCCCAGTGGATGGCGTGCAGGAGGCAGCCGATCCATGCTTCTCTCTCATTAATGTTTCTCTCTCGCTCCCCTCTCCCTTCCTCTCTCTAAAATCAGTAAAAACCTAGAATAGCTGTGAGAAAAGAAGCGAGTCAGTGCTCACTGTTACCGAGGGTGCAGAACACCCTGAGCACATGTGACGGTTGGGAAACGTACCTCACAGCAGCTGTCGGCGTGTCCAGTGGACTCGGGGAAGGACTTAGACGGACGCGTGTTTTGCTGAGGCGCAGGGATCACTTTAAAACTGAAATCACCCACAAGCTGGGGAGAAGGAAGGCCTGGCAGGGAGATCTGTGCCGTGGCTGTGCCGTGGCGTGGGGCATGCCCCTGGTGGCCAGGCAGGACACATGTGCTTCGGAGTGAGAGTCTGTCCGGTCAACTTCCCACAGATGTCCTCTGATCCTTCCGCCATTGGTCTAGATGAAGGGGGGAAGATGAATACGAGCTTTATGTAGCCCAATCGTGCAGAGACGGCTGCCATCCTGCTTCTGTGGGAAGGTCAGGGGGCCTCGGAGGGGACAGGCGTCTCCAGCGCTGTGTCCTGACTCCCTTTAGCACTAGTGGGAAGTGTGCCGAGGGCCAAGGGCCCCTGAGGAGGACGTCAGCACACGCTGACACCTGCGGTTCAGGGGCCTGGCGCACGGAGCCCCAGGGAGGCAGAGGAGCCATCTGAGCCCGTGTGCCCCGGGCCGAGGACTGCCTGGCACATCCAAGGTTCCAGCCCCGCCCGCTCCAGCAGGTGGAACAGCTTAACCGGGAATGAGACCCTGCCTGGACTTTAACTCAGTCTGGAAACCTACGCAGGGACCAATGTGTCGGAGAAGGCATCCTCTCGCCTGCAAAGTGCTGGTGTTCGTTTTGATTTCCGGATTCATCTGGGCTTGAAGCGCGGGGAAGGTCAGCCATCAGAACCATCATCTCTGACCTTTTTACTGTAATTCTATCATTAACAACACATTTAAGATCCAGGTCTCTTCCTCCCCACCCCATCCCCACGACACAACGAAAGCTGGAGATCGTCAGACTCGGGGTTGGTAAGGAGAGGAGGAGCGCGAGGGGGCGGATCCGACACCCCAGGTCCAGGAGGTGTCCGGCGGATCTCCCGTGGGCCAGTACCAAATGGGTAAGTGTCCTGACCCTGCCAGAACCAGCCGACCGCCAGCCTGCAGAACCCCGGCAGGTGCCCAGAGGGCTCTGGGTTCCATCCCATCATCTGACTGTCTACTTTTTACTGATTTTATTTGTCCAGCTGGTGACGGTGTATTTGGGGTTTGGGTGTGCGGTTTTCATTTTAAGCAACAGCAGCCCTCAGGTCAGACCCCCGGATCCTAACACAAAGCACACCACGTGAGCCTGGAACGGAGGGCGTGGCAGTGTCCACGTTGCTGGAACCTCACGGAGGGGGCTGCACCTGTGCCCGGCACGGTCCTTACTCATTCGCTTTCCCTCCGCGGCGGCGTTGAGACGCGCTCTGCCCGGCCCGGGCTCTTCTCTGCGGAGGCTGCATGTGCCGGTGTCCGAGCAGCCCTCCCCGGGAAGAGGAACAGGGTACTTGTCTCGGGTGCAGTGCAGCCAGACACTGCGGGAGTAGCAACCCACCCCGGCTAATCACCTCCTGGGCTCCGAAGGAGATGGAAGGCGCTGAGCTGCGGCGGCTGTTACCATGGTTACCGTGCCGCACTACGTCCGGATGACCGGGCTGACTCAGTGGCTGGTACAGAGAGCTTACGCTGAGAAGCCCTGTCCTGCCCCAAGAGCTCTGCACACGCCTCCAAGCAAAGTCAAGTCCAACCGGGGGCTTGATAGAAATGCGGGTTCCCCAGGCCTCACCCCTACCCTATCGATCTGTAACCCCTGCAGCGAGGCCTGCAGAAGTGCGTGTTTAATAAACGCCCTCGTTGACACTCATGCCCAGCAAAGTTTGAAAACATCCCATTTTCGGGGTGAGCAAACTGCGCCCCATGCATGGGTTGAAGCCAGCCAGCCACCTGGCTTTACACAGCCCAGGAGCTCAGAGTGGTGTCCACGCATGTCAGTGGCAGAGTGAGGGGTGGGGGAGGAAGAAAAGGGGGGACAAATGGTGATGGGAGGAGACTTGACTGGGACCACAATACAATATACGCAGGATGTGTTGTAGAATTGTGTACCTGAGTCCTATGTAATTTTATTAACCAGTGTCACTCCAATAAATTCAATAATAGATAGATAGATAGACAGATAGATAGATAGATAGACAGACAGACAGATAGAATATCTTCAGACATGGAAGTCTTATAAAATCCACGTTTCAGCATCCATACCTAGAATCTAGTGGGACGCAGACACGTCATTTGTTTGCCTAGTGACTGTGACTGACTTGCAACCGGAGTTGAGTCCCGGCAGAGACCACATCCTACACACGTCCCCCCGCGGGATCCTCAGCTTTGCCTCTTGACCGGCAAAGCCTAAGGACTCACTGTTCAGCCCTTTACAGAAAAGAACAAGCTTACTGATCCCTTCTTCTCGTAAATGTTTCCCTTCCCCAAAGAGAGCTTCAAAGCCTGGTCCCAGGTGTAGCCCAGCCAGGTGCACACAGCTTTGATTGCATCTCAGGCTGGACATGTTCTTACCTCGTTTGAGTCTAATTACAAGCTGGAATCAGTAGGGAGATTTATTGCCCAGGGCTTCAGATGCTGGTCAC